TGATTATTATGAATGGTTTTACTCACCCTGCATGTTTGTATGTTACCTCCACGTGGGTAACGTGCAGGTGACCAGGTTTAGTCGTGGATGCCGTCGAGGACTTTTTGGAGTTTTTGACATTTGGTTGACTTAGAGGGTCTTACTCTGATAGTGAAACATCGGGTTGGGGTCTTTGAGTTAAACTATGTTTTATTGATTTTTGTTATTTTGATTATGTTGTTGTGCAAGGAAAACTTTGGATTTGCCCTTTTGAGTTCCGCTGCCATTTGAGCAATTTTTGAGTAATTTTGGAAAAACCCGTTGTTACGGAGCACTGACTTTGAGTTGAATTATTGAGAAATGTACGCCCGTTGAGGTGATTTTTATTGTGCTTAAAATATTACTCTGATAAATGTGATTGATTTCCCATTATATTTGTGGGGTAGAATAGGATGTTACAGAAGACACTAATAAATATTTCAAGGTCAATGGATGCTACCCAAAGTTACTTTATGACATCTCCACTTTGAAAGAGGAACCTTTAGAAGATCTCTCTTTGGAAAAGTCTGCTTATGTGATCACCTATCCACCTTGACTACTTGGGTGTGTTCTTTACTTTCTCTCACTCTTATTTTATATTTTTTTCCTTTCATTGAGGATAATGTGTGGGGGAACGAACCATTTTTTTGTTTTGTTTTCTTTCTGTTTTCTTTGTTTTGTTTTGTTTTGTTTTCTTTAAGTGATTTTTTTTTAAATTACTTAGAAACACAATGCATCTTTTGAAATTTTTAGGCTATAGATCAATTTGAGGTTAGATTGTGGAGACTTGAGAATATTTTATAAGATCGGTATCGTTTTAACACCTTAAGTCTCCTGAATATGGAAACCGATTTACATACTTGTTATGACATAGCCTTGAGTTCTCATCATTTACTAGCTCTTAAGTAGTTTATCTAGTAGTCAACACCATCTAAAAATTACACACTGAGTAATTAAGTTGATGCAAATAAGTGAATGATCTCGTGCTTAATAAAAAATCTAAATAGGAATCCACCTTTTAAGTTAGGTGACCATCACCCGGTCACTTAGGCTAATGGTTGTGAAACCTTCAAAAAAAGTGGTTAATTTTGAATTGTTGAAAATATATGGGTCATAGTCACTAACAAGTTTATTTACCATGTGTGTGAATAGATAACGAGCTTAATGTGATTGCATTAGAATGAAAGAGAGCAAAAAGGAGGATGAGTAAGTTAGGCTTAAGCATAAAAACATGATTCGGATTGGTTTGTATAGGAGGGAGGTTTATGACCGCACAATTGCAAATTTCAGTTCTTACGATATCCTTAATATGCAAAACTAGTACCTATCAATGCAATCTTGACCGAATAAGAGTTTGTAGCCTAGAATGAGTATTTGAATGCCATCGTTTTTCATGAGTCTTGATACTATTTTGCTCGGAGTGCAAAGGTTCAAGTGTGGGGGAATTCGATCAGTGCATTTTAATGCATATTCTATTATGTTTATACTTAGGCATTTCCTTAGTTTGTTTTGTTTATTTTACTATTTTAGTGTGTTTTCATATTTAAGTTTATTTTTACCTTTAATCTATTTTCGCAGCTTATTTTCAGCTTTAGCGGTTATTTGATATTTGTTCACTGTTTGGATCATAACTGAAGCTACGAGAATTGGATTTGAATTTTCTAATAGGATTTGGAAATCCAAGACAGAGAGCTACAACTTTTATGTTTGAGGAAGAAGCTGATTCAGAATGTAGAAGGTCCAAATAATTCGTTGAAGTCAGGACCCGAAATATGCTGTTAGAAATATTTAGTTTTGGACCGATTTTTTTTTAATGTTTTTCGACCCAGTTGGGTTAGAACCAGAATTTTTGATGCTTTCATATACCTAGCAACCGTTCTAATGTTGAGGACCTTTTTTTTCACTAATTTTACTTTTTGCTTTTGTACGATTTGAATGGAGAACTAATTCCTGAAGGAAAATCCTGTTGCTTACGGGTTCCATCGCTTTGAGGTTATTATAATACCAATTTAAATTTGATTCCTTTCAATCATTTTCTATGAAGTCATTTGCTTAATTTGATTGCAATTGTTTGCTAAATTCGATTGTTGTTCATAGGATATAATTGATTAAATTCGATTGTATGCATGTTCCTAAATTTAATTGCGTGTTATTTGCTTAATTCGTTAACTCGTCATATTTTTAACCGTTTGCTTAATTCGGTAAACAGGAACATAATTCATTTGATTTTGATAAGCGCTTGTCTAATTGATCTCATAACCGAATAGGATCGAAGCCGTTTAGGGATTGGTGTTATAATAGCCGATGATAAGTCGGAATCCGAATCAGTAGGATTAGCCGTTTTAGCTTAATTGATAATCACTTTTTCTCTTGTTTTATAAATTTAAACATAAAACCCCTATAAAATTTTACTTTAATTGGTTAATTCATTACAATAATTCTTGTGAGAACGATACTCGAGTTATTGTCGCTATACTACTTTTTCAAAAATACTCGTTTTTGATCTGTGCACGACAGCGAATCACTTCCTTATTTTCAAACACCACCCCTACTTCCAAGTTGTCACCAATATGGTTTGGTTTGTCTTTTTCAAAAATATAGATGGGTTGAGAAGACTCTAGACATATGTTTGACATGTGCGCTGGTGCATTATACAAATTAATGGGTTGAGTGTTTATTACCTGGGAATGCACGGGGAAAACATCCTCTTCATCGCCATCACCGAAAAGATCTTCAAATCGAACATCATGTAGTTCATCGTCACTGTATTCACCAACCTCCTCGTTTCGTATGAAAGGTTCACTATTTTGTGTAATTTCTTCATCAATTTCTTGGCTCACTCCGTATTGATGCGAATATGATGATTGCGTTGGATATGCTTCGTCATCAAGATGAACATATAACTCAATCGTCTTCAAATGAGGCATTGGGTAATGACATTGGAACATTGATTTGACTGCTTTGTTTGTATCTATCTGCTTCATTACATAGAAGACACTACCATCTACCCCATTAAGTAATGGTTGACGCTAAATAATTTTCTGAGTTGAGTCTTGCACGTTTTTTTGATGCGTTCTTTTAGATGAAGAATATCAGAACTACAATGAAGTTTGAACATCCCCGTATTTGTACCGTTGAATGAGAAATTGATATTTTGATCAGTGAACACGAAACCATTATAGTGCATGGTGACCATTGTTTTTCTATCTGCCATATCTTTGATACAGACAGTGTAAGTTGGATGGTAGTCTACAAGACATGAAAGATTATATAGTAATATAGAACAATGTTGGTTCGTCCTACCAAATGACGGACATGTAGACAGAACAATTTGGGGTAATCCAACCAAATGACGAACCCATGAAGCATTTGTCTAGGGTCGTCCAACCAAATGACGAGCCCATGCAGCATACATGTAGGGTCGTCCAACCAAATGACGAACCCTTAAAGCGCGTGTTAAGGCATGTCATTCTATTGGCCGAGCTGCAGAGGGTGCAGTGTGTAGTCTTTTCGGGACAAAATGCTTTCATACCACATTTTTTGCCACCTCCTCTCAACAACCAACACCATACACCCCAACCCTGCAACCTAACTTCTACTACCACCAAGAATACCAGCCACAAACCACATTTCGACCATCCTTCCAATTCACTCCAATTCCTCGACCTAACTTTAATTTCTCTTACCCCCAATCACAACACTAAAATTTTAACCCTTCACTTTCTCAACCCACTTCTACCTGCCGCATTGACGATGTTTATTACCCTCCCATCCAACAAAACCCTCCAACCACCTTCAACCAACCATCCTAGTCAATCCCCAACTATCTCCTAACTGATGATCAACTCATGGAATGACCAGGTTTTTCTGTTACTGATGTAGATATGGTCGATACATCACATCAACCTGAAAATGTATGTGAAGATGAAGAGTTGTCTTCCGACTCTACTCCATCACCTACAAGACAACAACCCGAAGAGTTAGGCAGGGGAAAACGCGTGAAAAAAAAGTAAAATGTGTAGAACTGACGGTCATTTACGTAGACAAAAATGATGTATCTTTTTCACTCAATAATATTAATAAAATTGCTTATATTTATGATTTTATTTAATAAGTAAATTATTTTAATTACTTATGGCAGGACCAGTCACCCGGGCAAACCAACCCTCTTCCAAGAAGAATTGTGTTATGCCCTCCCGATCCCTATAGAGCGAAAGAGCTGCCTGGTGATTCCTAGATTGCAACACGTCCGGTCGTTAACTCATCGCGTCGTTGCCGCCGTTTCTAAGACCGACCGACGCCTCACCTGCACAGGTACCTACGTAGTGTAATGTCAGTCGCACATTCAACATAGCGTTCGAACTCATACGCCTTCCAGAACCAGGGGTATTCGAGCCAGCTGCGTACGATTAGCCAGCCCTGTGGCTGCAAAAGGATTAGACATCCTCTATAAAATTAATTAAATTATTTATTCATTAATATTTTAAAACATCAAAATAATTTTTAATATTTAAAAAACAATTAACTATATTAAAATATAATAAAATTTATATATTTATATTTTAAAACAAAAAAGAAAAAAAAATCTTCAATGGTTTAGCCAATGGTTAGCCAAGTCTCTTTATGGTCAAAATCAACTTTATTAGTTCGTCGATCCCTAAAAAAATAATGACATTTTAATACTTTTTCATGGCAGTATGGTATATAATATTTCAAATAGTGGCATTTAAGTAAAACAATCCTCAACATATGTCTAAAAACCCATCAGCAACACTGTCATTAGCAACACTGTCAAAAGTGATGGAAAAGATAAGCACAAATAAATATTATGGATGAGAAATCAACCAAATAAAGAATAAGGATTATGAATGAAAAGTGAGAACAACCCAATATTTTATATCACACACATAACCTCGTGTATTTGATATTTAGGTTAAAAATTTGATTTTGAATTTGAGTTTTTCAGAGAGTGATTAAGAAAAATGGGTAAAGGGGGAATGTCAATCGATGATGATGTTGAACAACAGAATATGGCTGCTTGGCTTGTTGGTGTAAACACTCTCAAGATTCAACCTTTCAGCCTTCCAGCTCTTGGTATTCATCTAAATTTCATTTTTACTATTATTATTTTTGTTGTTGTTTATACTGCTGATTAAGATCATTGTTAAGTTTAGGGATTTGGGTATTTTGTAGATGAAAAATTAGAAAGCAAATCAGAACTTTGGATGGATATGTAAATTGGATTCAAAATGATGATTTATGGCATGCTTTGGATTTAGTTTATAGTTTAAAATTAGGGATTTGGATTTTTCTGTAGTTAAAAAATGATGATTTTTATTGGTAAAGCAAATCAGAGCTATGGATTGATTAATTAATCGGATTCAAAATTCAATCTGGAAATGTGGGCATGGGTCATATTAAGTTCATTGTTAAAGTTTTGGGATTGGGGTTCTATGTAGTTGGAAAATGACAAAAATTACACAGTTAAGCATCTTACAAGCAATACCGGACTTTGTCTCATTAATAAATTGGATTCGAAATTGAAATATGGCATGTTTTGGATTACTTGATTGTGGCAGCATCGTTGTTAATCCAAGGTTGTCAAGATTGGGATCTTGCATAAGATCAGGAGGGGATAGTAAAGATCGTGGAACATAAGATAGTTACTAAGATCGGAAGATCCTACCCAATTATTTTTGTAAGATCGTAAAACATAAGATCGTAACAAAAATAGTAAGATATTACTAAAACAAAAATTAATACATATTTATAGTTTTTTTTACATGATAATTTGATAGGCAAGTGTATTCGAGGGAAAATGACCTCTGTCGCACTATTATTGTTGTCTTGGATTCTTGTCATCCTTCTAGGCTGGTAATGATAATGGCCGGAAAACGGTAGATCGTGGCCGGAATAGGCCAAGATTGCACATAATCAATGGTTTACAATTTTTTCACAATTTGACTACAACACAAGATTCTACTTAAGATCGGAATTGTTGGGGGTGAGTGAGATTGCAAAATTGTAAGATTTTAAGATTTAGATCGAGATCTTGACAACCTTGTGCTAATCGATTTCATAGAATTCAAATCACATTGCTAAATTTGGCTGACTTCATTTTGTATGTTTGAAGGACCTCATGATGTCAGAATTAGAATGAAAGCTGTTGGAATCTGTGGGAGTGATGTTCACTACCTCAAGGTAGGTAATACTATTATTGTTACATGTGATTACGATATTAAATAAGTGTGAAAAAGATACACTAAGGGTGTGTTTGGTAAACCGTTTGGAGGCAATTTCTCGCGTCCCTATGCAAAGAAAATGTGAACAAGTAAGAAGCTCCAATTTGGAGCATTGGCCAGACGCGCGTCTTTTGCCTCTTGGACGCGGAAAAAAACAAAGGCTAAGTTCCAATTTGGAGATTTGATGAGTTTGAAAATCTTTATTGGCACGTGATTTCCTACATAATTTGCTGCACTTATCTTTGTTTTTTCTAGTAAATAGTTCCAATTTTTATTGATTATTTTACTACTCAGACAATGAGATGTGCGGATTTTATTGTTAAAGAACCAATGGTCATTGGTCATGAGTGTGCTGGGATCATAGAAGAAGTTGGTAGTGAGGTCAAGACTTTGGCGTCTGGTGACCGTGTCGCGATCGAGCCTGGGATTACTTGTTGGCGTTGCAACCATTGCAAACTTGGTCGATATAATCTATGCCCTGACATGAAGTTTTTTGCTACTCCACCGGTTCATGGATCCCTTGCTAATCAGGTTTGTTGAAAGAATTCATAATTTCCCAAAGTACAGTTCTTTGTTGTGTCCAATTAGAACTGCAAATATTCTAAAGATAAGAATTTTAGTTGTTGAATAGTGGCTATAACGTAACGGAATTTGAACAAATCGCTATTGTTCTTCGATACACATACACTATTTAGTACAATATTTTGTCAAATAGCAAGCATAGTCGCGCTATTGGACTCTAGACCAGTAGAATTTGAACAATTTGCTATTTTATGTGATTTACGATAATATACAAAATGCCGAAGAATTTTCAAGGAACAGTGACAATATGTAGACAAAATCGTATTGCCCCCATGAACTTGCTATGATTTCAAACATGCACTAGATTGATCATCTCAAATGAAACCCGTGTTTGAGTTAGACTCTTCTCTTTTCAGATAGTTCATCCAGCAGACCTATGTTTTAAACTACCAGACAACGTGAGCTTGGAGGAAGGGGCAATGTGTGAACCCTTAAGTGTCGGTGTTCATGCTTGTAGGCGAGCTAATATTGGACCGGAAACAAATGTGTTGATTATGGGAGCAGGACCTATTGGACTTGTTACAATGCTTTCGGCTCGTGCATTTGGGGCACCTAGGATTGTTGTCGTGGATGTGGATGACCATCGTTTATCTGTTGCAAAAAGTCTTGGCGCAGACGATATTGTTAAAGTTTCAGCAAACATTCAGGTGTATTGAATCAAAAGTTTCTTAAAACCTTATATATTTTCTTATTTATCTGTCATTAGAGTAATTTCCATGCTTTGCAGGATGTAGCTGAAGAAGTTAAGCAAATAAATAATGTTATGGGAGTTGGTATAGATGTTACCTTTGATTGTGCTGGTTTTAACAAAACCATGACTACAGCATTGACTGCTACTCTACCAGGTGGCAAAGTTTGTCTCGTCGGAATGGGTCATTCTGAAATGACTGTGCCACTCACACCAGCTGCTGCAAGGTAATCACACCTAATATGAGTAATTATCGAAAACTCCCAAATGGGACCTAAAAGATACGCGTAAATGTACTTTTCATCTCGTTGTTTTTAACTAATTCATGATTTTTGTCCTCTGATTTCTAAATACATAAATATAGTCCCTAGTTTACTAGCTATGAAGCACGGGCTCCGACACAGGCGGACACTGGGACACGACATGATACTGACACTCCGACACTTTTAATTATTCATTAGTAGCATTGCTTCATTATATGCTTAACTGTGATATTTGTCAACAAAAAAAAATGCATAAGGTGTGTTTCAAAGAGAGAAACAAATTTTATTGAAACACTTGTCTGAGTTGTGTGACGCGTGGTGTATGAGTGTTATACGGGTGTCAGATACTGATTAAAAGAGTGTCGATGCAAAGAAAAAAATATTTTTTTGGGATACATGACTTTTTTCATCCAATACAGGGAAGTTGATGTTATTGGCATTTTCCGCTATAAGAATACATGGCCTCTTTGCCTGGAGTTTCTGAGGAGTGGCAAAGTTGATGTAAAACCCCTTATAACTCATAGGTTTGGATTCTCGCAAAAGGAAGTGGAAGAAGCCTTTGAAACAAGTGCTCGTGGCGGTAATGCTATTAAGGTCATGTTCAATCTTTAGATACTATATATATAAATAGACTGAGAATTTGCAAACTCTGTTACCTTGAACAGAACTTTGTTTATACTTGCTTGTTCATCACACTGTTCAATGTGTGTTTATAATCTGGATTGTGAATAAATTCAATAAGGGCATCATACGGAAAAGCCTTGAAGAAACTTAAATTTCTTATCCTCTCTGATTTAGAGTTGTCATGTATCTGTTATGTGCTTGAACGAGAGAGAGATTTGACAATCGTCCTCGTTAGGTCTACTCCATTATCTTGTGGTTAAGTTTATGTCAGTTTTATAGTGGTCTGACAATCGTCCTCGTTAAGCCTACTCCTACAATTTTGAATCACATGATTCGAATCATAAGTTTATGTGATCCGAATCAAAGTCTAGAGGGAAAACCCATTAAAAAAACTTTTTTGATTTGAATTAGGCAATCTGTGATTCGAATGAAGCAATTGTGATTTGAACCACGGATGCTTGTGATTCGAATCATGACAACATGAAAGTAATTCTTGGACTCCTTATAATGTCGATTCGATTCATGTGAATAGTGTGATTCAAATCACACTACCAAAATCTCATCTTTGTAAAATTTAAAGTGTTTTTGAGATTTAAACATTGTTATAATTTGAATCAATTTCAAATATAGTTCTTGATCCGAAAACTTAACAAATTGACTTAAAGTATATTACTTAAATTATAACCATGCACTTTAATTTATGCATGCGTAAAAATGGATTTAGAAATAAACCCTAAGATGCGTAATTAGCGAGGAGACTCAATAAAAATATAAATAAAACCAAAAGACACTGCTACAAAATAGATCTTTCGTAACACTCATTTTACAACGACCTTTCATAATGTTTGAACTTTCTGTTTGGTTTGACTTGTAGGTAGGGATGGTGAAAAAAAATATTAACTAAGATAAAGTTAAAGTGAGTCCTGCAAACTTGTGTGAAAGACCCTGAATGACATTCGTTCAAAATTAACACAAGTTTGCAGCTCTTACTTTAGCTTCATCCTCCTTTCATTGTGGATGTCATTATGGGACATGTGCGTTTTTTGGAACATTCTATGAGTTGATATGTTGTTATTAATAAAAGTTGTATGTTGTATGTAGTTTATGCTATGTGTTAATAATTTTGTTGTTTTTAATAAGAGTTGTTTGTTGTATCTTGTATGCTGTTTAAGGTTTGTTGTTGATTAATGTTGTTGTTAATGTTTGTTTAAAAGATGAGTTTATTATATCTTATGTGGTTTGAGTGTTTTGGAATCCCTTACCGAATACATACCTTTTTAAATTGCATTAGAAAATTATAATATGATAGATAAAGTTATATAAGAAAATAAGTTACACATTCAATTCTAGACAAGAATTCTGCAGCTCGTTATCTGCATTTTGATGTTTAACCGTTAGAACTAGGTTTAATGCTTCTTGTTATTCAACCGCCCATTTCTCTACCTCTAATTTTGTTTGCAAAATAACTAATATTTTTCAAAATGAATTAAAGGTGAAGGAAGGAGAGGTTGAAAAACTATGAGCATTAAACCAAATTCTAATAGTTAAAGAGCAAAATACAGATAACGAACTGAAGAATTATTGTCTAGCATTAAACGTGTAACTTGTTCTTCCAATTTAACTTAATTTGTCATATTATAATGTTTTAGATCAAATTGAAAGATTACATTTTTAGTGAGTATTGGCGAAATAAGCATTCCATATAATATATAATAAACTCATTGTATATATTACAACGACTGTTTATAACAATCATTGTTAAATGTTATGCATTAAAGAATATCACAACGGTTGTTTGAATTAACTGTTGTGATAGGTAGCGCGCTACATAGCTTATAAGCATGGTCGCACGACCGTGATGGAAAGTATCACACATACAACCACCATTTACCTCGCAACGGTTGGTCAGGTCTGGTGGTATCCTTTTTTCAACCATTGTAAAATTGATTTTATGTAATAGTGAGCTAAAAGACAAGCAACAAAACATAAACCCATGAGGCAGAGGCAATACAACCTTAGGTTTAACTGGTGTTTGTAACATTGGATGTCATAATTTGGTTTGAGCTTGAACTAATCGCATGAGATGTTGAGGGGATCAAATTTGATTGTTGGAGGTAGAATACAAGTTGATATGCCTCTCTTGAGTTAGACCAGAACAATAATTTCATAAAACATTTCATTAGTTCCGGTTGGAGTGTGTTCCTTTGTAATTTCACTACTAGAAGCATTGGCAGATGATGATGGTTTGTTCAAATTTAGATGACCATGTTTCTGATAGCAATATTGTTGGCTGGGATTTTCGATGCCATGTTTTTATTTGAGATACTAAGTGAAAATCAAGTTTCTTATATCTTCTTGACTTCGACAAAAGTTAGGATGAAGCTTGGTCGAAATGGTTCTCATAAGGGACACATGTTTACAAATACTTAGAAATATTTTCTAAGTGTGGAAAGCCACTTCGGCGAAGGGTGTTTGAAGCCTCTCTTCGTCAGAAGATTTGAATTTTAAAATACGAATAACTAACTGTCTTTTGTTCTTATTCGTTTCTTAAGAGAGACGCATGGAGAACTATGGCAAAACGAAGACATGCAATCGAAACGTGTCAAATTTTAAAGAAATGTTTGTTGGAGACAGTTATTTCGACGTGTTATAAAATGGGTCTTAGTGTTAGGATTTATGTGTGTTCAATTGTTGTACTATACTCAAAAATTTACTCAAAGTATCTAAGTCAGGTGAGAAAAGAGTTACTATTGAGAATGTACGTTTGAAATACCACATTTTATTTCATTTCAATAGAAATTTACTTTCATTTATCAATTGTTCTTTATGCACTTTTACTTTGAAGTTCTTTTCTTCATTGCATTTCTTTTATCAACTTTTACAAAGTTTAATCTTTTAAAAAACAATCAAAACAATGTTTCATACAAATGAATAATGTCGAAGAGTTCTTTAATTTTCCAGAAATATATTGAAACAATAGCTATGTCTTTAGGATTCACTGGTTGATCATGCAAGTAAACTAAATTTTTAGAAGACCAGCGTCATCAACCTTATGGTAGGCCAACATCAATGATGGCAAGTTTGCACAATGCCTCATCAGCATTTGCAGACCCAATGGTGAATATAACTTCGCCATTACAAGGATCTAGTTCAGGAGTAAACAATATGGGTTGAATTAGCGAACCCTTAGGGACAAGATTTCCCACCCAGATGCCAAATATCACCAATAATTCTGCAGTAATAATAAGGTAACATATGGACGAAAGTAATCATGAGATGGTTCAGATGCTTGCCCAACAAATGAGTGTCATATTCAATCCCTTAATCCAAAATATTACCCACACAAACCAACAATTGGCAGTGCAAATGACGCGCATTGTTGATTTCTTTGGTGTTCCACAGCCCCCTCGACAACCTCAGAGGGAATGGATGGTACAAAATATTGGGGTAGTCTTAGAAGAAGTCCCTACAATTAACCAAGTGCAACCAAATGTACCTCAGGCGAACGTTATAAACCAGGGGCGGGAGTCGAACCACCTAGGGCCGAACCTCCTAGAATTGAACAGCCAATCCAGAGGGAACAAAAGGTAGTAATGGTAAATAGGAACCAGAATGCTGATGAAGTAATAAATCAAGTTCGACGCGATGATGTGGCGGCAGACAATAACCTAGCAGCCATGGTCGAGAGGATTATGGCCAGAAACAGGATAAATGTTGGCCTTCATATGCCAAATTATACATCATCATTATCTGAATACATCTTGCAGTCTGATTTACCCCCTAGATGGAAAGTCCCTAAATTTACTAAGTTTTTCTGGGGATACTAGTGATTCCATAGTCGAGCATGTGGAAAGATACTTGATAGAGGCTGGAGAAATTGCTAATAACGAAAACCTAAGAGTGAAATACTTCCCAAGTTCACTCACCAAAAATGCCTTTACTTAGTCTACAACACTGCCAGCAAATTCGATCGACAATTGGACTCAATTGGAGAGATTGTTCCATGAGCAATTCTATACGGGACAATCGAAGATAAGCCTAAAAGAACTGGCTAACATTAAGAGGAAGTTCTATGAGCCAATAGATGATTACCTGAATAAGTTTCATCTACTTAAAGATAGGGGCTTTACACAAGTGCTTGAGCATGAGTTGGTCGAAATGGTCGCAGGTGGCCTCGACTACTCAATTAGGAAGAAATTGGATACCTAGTACCTGAGAGACATGACCCAATTGGCTGATAGAGTTTGACAAGTAGAAAGACTGAAGGCTGAGAAAGCTAGAGGAAACAATAATAAAAGAGAAAGGGTAGCCTACGTCGAATTCGACAAAGACAAACAAGGAACTAGTGTTGATCCCTTTTTCGATGAGAGTGAAATTAAGCTTGCTGAATTAAAGCAAGGCCCACCTTACTCCTGTAAAGTTTTAACACCGTCAAATGGAAAGTATCCAGTCAATTCAGAGAAGAATGATAGGTTCCTTAATAGAACATATACTTTCGACATCACCAAGTGTGACAAAATCTTTGATTTATTAGTTCAAGATGGCCAAGTGATAGTGCCTTCTGGAGCTAAAATTCCTCATTTAGAACAAAGAAAACAATGAGGTTTTTTTAAGTATCATAACTTTCTGGTCCATAAAACTTCTCAATGTTTTCTTTTCAGGGATTTTATTCAGAATGCCATTAAGGAGGGAAGACTCGAGTTTGCCGACAAGACAAAAAATCAAATGAAGATAGACTCTGACCCCGTCCTTGTCGCTAATGCACATTACTCAGAACCATCTATGGTTAACATGGTGGGAATTGCTAATGAATTTGTTAGTGATGCTGTAATGGCCGAAGCTGCTAATGGTTTCACTAGAGGAGTTCCTGAGGACTCTAAACAAGAAACCACTGAGGGTTTTGCCCAGGTCTCAAGGAACTTTAATCACGAAGTCACTAACTGTTGTACCCCAAAATTTGACCAACCTTTTCTTCATAACTTGGCTTATGTTTCATTTCATCTTTAGCATTTGCATTTGCATAGCATGGGTTCTAATAAGGGGATCAAGAGGTGTTGTGTTTTCCATTCAAGAGGAGGGTCTTATGGGTTTCCAACTCAAGCAAAGGTATTTGTGCAAGCCATTAAGTGTTTATCATCACCATGGAAGGTTCAAAGCTCTTTGAAAGGAGAGATTGGTGTGTGGATGTTATCTCCTATCTTGGGGATCATCAGGGATTCTTGAAGTCTTTATTTTGGAGAAGACATGGTCTACAAGCTCAGTGATTACCCTAGGAGTCATTGTGGAGTTTGTTTGGTCATTCAATTCATCTGTAAAGAGGCACAATCAAAAGATATGGAACTAGGGTTTCATTTGGTCAACCCAAAGTCAACTGTGGGCTTGAGAAGGTTCAAGACTTGATTCTAAGTCACTTGAGTCATCTTAAAGTATTTAGGATGTCATGTTAAGATCAGGTTAAGAAGAATCAAGGGTTCAAGAAGTTACTAAATTAGGGTTTCAGAAGTTTTCAGTGTAAAATCCCCTTCTTTAGTGCCTAACTTCAAGGATATTTTTCCCTATGATGTAAGCTCAATCTCTTTTTCATGAAAACATGAGACTTGTAGGGCATGTTCTTAGATTTCTTTTGAGTACAAGAACTCATCTATTGAGTTTGTACATCTCAAGTTATGATACCAACAAGTTAAGTTCCTCAGATGAAGATATTTTTGGTCAGCTAAAAGTCAACTCACTTCCAAGGCATTTTTGGCCTAGAATCAAGTCTCTCCTTAACTTCAAGTGAACATGAAAGTTATTCCTAATGGTCTTAGCTTTCCAAAAAGTCCTAGAAGTCCTTTTTATCATTTGTACATCTTAAGTTATGAACCTCACAAGGCAAGGGCATTTTTGGAAAGTTCATTTTAGGTC